TAAAAGTAAGGCACATAATAGTTGGCAATGTATTCATTTGGAGATATATTTCTATCCACAAAAGAATCTATAGATTTTTTTGTATTATTAACTTGAGATTCATTTTCATCTACAATAGATATTAAATAAAATAAATTAGTTAATTATATTTATTTATTAAAAATAATATTAATACAATAAAACTAAATTACCATCATTATCCGAATCTACAAATTCAATACGAGGATGCTTATGCTTATTTTTTTTTGTTTTATTGTCTAAATTATGAAGAGTATTACGAATTTCTTTACCACCTTCCTTAAGATGTTTTAACATATTAGCAGATATACCACCCATCTTTTCAAAACAATATTTACATTTTGCTCATTTTGCCTCACAATGAGAACTATTATACATTGGACCTTCAATAAAATGAAACCAAATTAATCCCTTTTTTTTTACCTTGCTTTTTTTTTAATGGTATACATTATATTCGAAAAAAACTAATTTTAGGTACAACTAGAAATTTTACTTGAATTTCTAACAATACTGCTCATATTGTGACACATATTCAACAAATTTTTTAGAAGGGGGCAAATAATTTATAGAATATAAATGCATGACAATTATATAAAAAAGAACAAAAACATGGTGATGGATATTTTAAATAGGAGTAATTTCATGAACTGTGAAATCTCTCCATAGCTTAAAATAAAACATAAATTCAGAAAGTGAAATCACTCCATAGTTTAAAAATAAAAGCAAATTTGGAGATTTATGATATACAGTGTAGAACAAAAAAAACCAAAATTTTTTTTGAGAAATAAAAAGATGCAGATCTCAGCCAAATCAAGTCCGATCCGAACTATGTAAAAAGGAAAATAATCGTAAGGTAAGTGAGTATATAATTTTTTTTTGTATTACCTAAATATTAAAATTTTTTTTTCATTTCCTCCCCTCAATATCTTCAATTTTTTAAAAAAACCCTAAAAATCAATTAATTAGAAACGATGACCTCCAGACAAGAAACTAACCGTCAAGCGATCTTACAATTATGGAATCAGAGTATTCAGAAGGCTAGGGAAATCCATCAACACACTGGAATTTCCCTCACGACTGTATACGATAACCTTACCAAGCTTTATGAGTCTGGGATGATTCAGCGTTTAGAAGGAAGTGGTCGCCCAAAAAAAATTATGGCTAATGCATCAAGAGCATTAGCCCAATTTGTCCACCGGGATTCTTCTATTTCAATAAGGACCTTATCAACAAGGTTGTCATTGAAAGGGGTAGATGTATCCTATAGGACAGTAGGAAGGCATTTAGCCGAAATTGGATACCAAAAAGACCTTTCAAGAGCAACGCCGATGCTGACTGCGAACCATAAATGTAAACGGGTAGAATAGGCCCAAAATCATCTTAATAATGATTGGGACAAAACTCTGTTTTTAGATGAGACTGCCTTCTAACTGTTCCAGAATACTGTAGATCGCTGGCATAAAGAACAACGACCGATATGCCCCATGCCTAAAGATCGAACGAAAATCTTTACATGGGGAGGATTTTGTGTAAAAGGAAAAACAAGTTTATATTGTTTTTCTCAAATAATGAATGCTGAATTTTATATAAACATACTCTGTAGCCACCTTCCAAAGATTGAAGACTTGTTAGGAGATGAATGGCGTTTTCAGCAAGACAATGATCCGAAACACACCAGCAATCATGCCAAAAAATTTCTTTGGGAAAAATTTCCTGAAGTTATTGACTGGCCTTCTAACAGTCCAGACCTAAATCCAATAGAAAACCTTTGGAGTATTGTTAAAAGGAATGTGGAGAAGAAAATGCCAAAGAATACTGATAATTTGCACCGATATATGATCAAAGAATAGGACGATATTTCAGAATCGACCCTAATTGGGTTAGTAGGATCAATGAAACGCCGATGTGAACTTATTATAGAAAATAATGGTGAACGAATTCCGTTCTAAAAAAAATATTAATAAAATTAGCTAGATTTTAGCTTCAAATATATATAAATTTTATTTAGTTGGTATCGTTAGTTTTGCATAATGTGTATTTAAAAAATTCTGGTTTTTTTTGTCTCACACTGTATATAATATAATTTATTACTGCAAATAAAAAAAAATTCATATAAAAGTAGAATTACTAGTTCTCTAAAAGTTTATAACTTATCAACTATGAATATTAGAAATATGATTTTATATTTATTTAATTCTTAAACCTTAATATATATTCAATAAAATTTTGAAATATGATTATTAATGCCAATTTTATGTAATTCAGTAATATATATCAAATGTTTTAGTTAATAAAATTTAAGCTACAATCAGCAGACTAGCACTAAATAATTTATACTAGATTTTGATTCTTTTTAATGCAATGACTAAAATTTGTTCAAATTGAATTAGTAGATTAATGAAAAATAAAAATTAGTCTAACCAAATTTTTTAGGTCAATATAATCTTGCAGATCGATTTTTTATTAATTTACTAATTCAAGTTTAGCTTGTTAAAATCATCATACTGAGAAGAATCAGAAACCAGTATTAATTATTTAATAGCTAGCCTGTTAAAAAAACTTTTCTATGCTTAAATTTAGTAAAAAATTTGATAAATTACGCAAAATTGGAATTAATAATTGAATTTCAAATTTTTATTAAATATGCTTCAAGGTTTAAGAATTTAAATAAATATAAAATTTTATTCTAACATTTGTGATTGATAAGAATCAATTATATTTATATATAATAAATTAGCCAATTAAATAAAATATCTCAATAGATCCATAGATTCATTGGACTTGACCATTGGCTATTGGTTTATTGGATCTATTGGTCACTTGAATAGGTTACACTAATTTTAAGATTAATTATATATATCACATGATATTTTACGCTACCTTTTATTTATTATACATTGAATATTTTCAATAAATTGATTATATATATATACCATCAATATTATCCTGTAAAATGAAAGCATTAAATCTATTATTATAATTAAAAATATATATATAATTATAAGTATGACTATTCATTATAACTTTAATATTAATAGGAAAAATAAGAATAATTAGGTACATTATAATAAAGAAATGGATACAGTTTATTCATAATACTAAAACTAAAGAAAATAAACTCCATTACTTTATTAGTTGATTATCTTCGATATATAATAATTCCACATAGTCTAATATTACATGTATTATAATAAATAGAAGTATATCTTTCTCTTAAGCAAAGTACTTTTAAGGTTTCAGATTCTTTTGAGATTATCTTGCACAGTGAGTTTTAAAGATATTTTCAAGCTAGAAATAAAATAAATTTTTTTTTATCAAATAGATTATCAAAATCGAAAAAAGTACAATTCAAACAAATCGATTGGCCAATCACGTGAAAGTCCTCCTAAGAATGTAATGTACAGTACAATGTACAATTCAATTAGAATTATATTAAGAATTCTGTACTGATGATGAGAAACGATTTTAAAAAGTCCAATAAAGTATATATTGTAATTTCAAAATATTGGGGTTGCAGTTATTTACGTTAGATGGTTGGGTAAAATGAATTATTAGAGGGAAACTATTATTGGACAGTATTTTCATTAATATTTGTTGTCCAACAATTTCTACATCAAATTACATACACAAATTTTCGAAAATGAATTTGTGATTTTTAGTACAAATAATAAAGCAATGCGGACATGATTTTCACTTGTGCATTAAATACTGTACAAGTTCTACTGTACAAACACAGAATGACGGGATTGTCGATGTCGATCAATTCAAAAGTAATAATACTGACTTAATTAAGAATTTTATAGAATCAAAAAAAAAAAATAGGCATTAATTAATTTTCACATCATTTGCAAATCAATTTCATCACATCAAATAATTTTATTTCTTCAAGGTCATCATCAAAATAGTCAAAAATTTCGTAAAAGATGGAAATTCCTAAATATTTCGTGTTACAAATACTGTATATAAAGTACTGTATCTCTCCCTGTTTCATGTCCGTTACGTTTCACATGAGATATTCTAAAACAAACACTTTGTATAATCTTTTTTGTGCTTCCGAGTACTTGTGTTTTGAAAGGAACAAAGTTATTAGGTATTGGGTTAAATTTTAATTTTGGCGGTTTTTTTTTTCATTCATAATTAAACAAAAAAAAAGTCAATGAACAACGATGTTGGATGGTAAATGGTCAATATCTTTAATTCTATTTAGAAAGATAATGAAACGCTACCCAATTTGGATTTATGCCTTTATGCTGCGTTGTCTTTACGAAAAAGTCGCATGAAAAGATTTCGTGTACTAATAGATTACAATTTCTGGACGGTGTATGGCACTCAGCAAGAAACGAAACCAATCGTAAAGTAGATACACATCCATTTACATGTTGAATATGTGATAAAAATAATTACGTCATCAATAGAAAACTTTTAGACAAAAAATTAATGTAAACATTTATAAGCCCCCGGTTATGACGCAGTCTAACTTTATTCTGGAAATTTATATATTTAATCGAATGAACCCTGATGTGCATGATTTTCATGTAAGCGCATGTGATCCTAAAAGTGAAAGGTTGAAAATTGCATGTTAGTCACGTGACAATCAAATGTGGTAAAGTAGATACTGCTGGCACTCTTTCATTCATTCAAAAAAAGAAAAAAAAAAAGAGAAATAATTTCCGGGTTGATTAAAAAAAAATTTTTTTTTATTTAAGTTTTTGTTAATCACCAATAAATTATTTGAAACGTACAACAAAAAAAAAACATTACAAAGAATTTTGCCCAACCGTATCGGAATATGGTATATGCAATTTGAAGATTATCGGGAACCTCCATATCAATCCTATACTAAACCGTTTTTGTTACACGAACATTACATAATCTAGCGTATGACATTTTAATTCCTTATTTGTCATGAATTAAACCTTAATACAATTTTTCTAATTCTTTCTCCTTTTCTAAACGTTTAACCTTCCATAAAATCAGGAAAAATGTCTCGTTCAACGCCAGAAATCATAGAAAACATTTACGAATACATTGGAACGGATTATGTTACCTTACGAAACATGGTTCTCGTAAATCGTAATTGGTGTAAAGTGGGAATCCCATACTTATGGAAAGCCCCATTTAGTATCGACAAAACGAATTCCATAAAACAAATTCAAATTATTTCGACTTACCTTTCATTCCTCAACAATAAAGAATATAAATTTTTCCCGGTACAAAAGAGAACATGTTTATTTAATTATCCTATTTACCTAAGAGAGTTGGAAATCGGTAACCTATTTTACATGATTGTTAGGTGGATTTATCAAAGAAAAATTAAATTTGTCTATTATGAAAATACTGGACGTTCGAATTTTTTTAATAATATGATGGAAGAATCCGAAGATTATTATAACGATGAGAATATCGAGTATGAATATTATTATTATACCTATTACAAACCAACGGAATCAGTTATTGCAAGTTCCATCTGTAAGCTCTTAATTAAATCCAATGCGTACATAGAAAATTTGAGCGTAATTAATACCACTTATAATAATCCTTTTTTAATTGATGAATTATTAATCGAGTTACTTAATTTTCCGGAAACGAAGAATAGTCTGAAAAATTTGAACACTTTAATCTGCGGCTCGTTAGTCACGGGAAACGTCTTGACATCTTTAACAGGCATGTGTCACAACATTACCAAGGTTGAAAGTAAGTCCACAAAGGATTCAACTTTTAAAAAGTTAACCGCCTTAATTCAAAATCAAATCTCTTTAAGGGAATTCACCTTGGAGGATAACAAATCCGACACAACGGCAACCATTATAAGCCTGGAACGTCATATCAATTCCTTACTATGCATTAATTTAAAGGATATTATAATTTATAGACATGTATCAATTAAATCCTTGGTGAAATGCATAAACTTGGAAAAATTACATCTCGAAATTTATTTTCATAGTTTCAGGGGGGTTAACAATAAGGAAATCTTGAAACCATTATTGGACGCACAGTTTTTTCATTTAAAAGATTTTAATTTAACCTTATTAGGTGAAAAAACTCATGATGATTTGGTACTTTATGATATATTAGAAGTTGTGCTAAGGAATTGTGACGAAAATTTGGAGAAATTGACTCTTGGTATTAATTTTAATATTAATTCGGAAATTTTTCGTTTAGTTTCACAACTTTGTCCAAATTTAACGATCCTTAAATTATTGATCCAAGAGGATGAGGATTTGTCTGATTTATTGATCCTATTGCCCAATCTCACAAACTTGAAGACGCTAGTCATGACGAAAAAACCTTGGATTGAAAATGTACTTAACATTCATAATAATCCGACCTTTAAACAAATTAGTTTTGTCCTTCCTTCAACTGTAAATAGTTTAATAATTGATGGAATATTGACATTTGAATTCATGCAAAACTTTATACGATTATTTAGAGGTTTTATTAAAGAATTCGAGTATAATATTTTCTGTTTTGCGGATAATTATGATGAAGAAAACGAGGCTCATAGAAATCTTTTGAGGAATTATGGTGATATGCTTATTAATAATGAAAAGGCTATCAATATTGATATTTCCTCTAATTATTATAGACATAAAATGGTTTTCAGGGCCTATTACTTATAAAAAAAAAAAAAGTATTAATATTTATTAATTGTCGATTATCAGAAATGAAATGAATAATAATTGACTTTTGTGATATTTTTTTTTTTTTTTTTTTTTTAAAAAAAAAATATATATATATATATTTAGTTGGGATTATTCATACGGGAGTTTAAAGATCCGAAAAAGTTGTCTATTTATCAAACTCAAAATCATTTATTACATTTCAAAGATTTATCATATTAAACAAACATTAAAAAAAAATTATTTAAAACTGTAATTTAAATTTCTTTCATTAATATATAGTATAGTCTTGAAAATATTTTAATATTATCCAAACTAAAACCAATCCGTGTTAATAAAAAATCAAAACATAAAATATGTTATGTACTTTCTCTATTCCATATAATCTCAGAATTCAAGTTATTAATTCTGATATGCCACTTGTTTCAATGATTAAATTATTAACTTGATTACGTTTCCGCGCTCAAATATTTTTTTAAGTTTTATTGTGTATCATCTATAGTATTTTGAATATATTTATCCTAATTGATGATTTCATGGAGTCTTTACTATAAAAGCATTACAAGTTCATATCTCAAATGCTCAAGCACCGTAAAGATTTGCTGAATATTAAAATCCATCTTATTTACTAAAAATTTAACCAAGCCTCATATCCTTATCCCTTTACGGCTGACTACACAAATAAAAGCAATGACATCAGTTTATTGACATAAAACCTCGAACAATTTACATTGTCGCGACCTCAGTTACAAATTCTTTTTTTTTACGTATTGAATTTCTACACGAATATTTATTTTATTCAAAATGGTTCCAAGGATTTCTTTAAATTTGATCTTGATATTGATGAATAAAAAATCATTTATATTTTAACGAATAAATTTGGTGGATGATTTGATTTTAAAATTTAAATAAAAAAATAAAATAAAAATTTCAAACTACGTTGTTCTGGCGATCATAATTTATAATTCCAAGAATTAGGGTTAATTGAACGTCATCAAATGCCATGATTAAAATTACAAATACTCTGTTTACAGAATTGGTAATAAATTGTCTTATGTATGACAGTTTTTAAATTTTTTTGACACATGTTATTTGCAATTAGTAAGAGAACTAAATTTCCAAAAATCGAGTTGATTAGATGATCTACAGTATTTTGCAGGCTATGGCCCGAAATCGTTCTATTTATGGGAAAAGCCCCGTCGTGGCTGTGACGCCTTCTTATAAATATGTTTATATGCTTCTGAAAAAAATTATCAAATAAAAAACACGATTTTATCTCAACACAAATTCCACTTCTTTATATGTCAAGGAACTAAAACACGAACAAATAAACATTATTGGTTCAGGGAAAATACGAAAATAAAATAACAAGTATACAATAATCCGCATATTTTTAGATCTGAAGCAAGTTAGTAAAAATATCGATATTTGAGAAAGTAAATTTTTTTTTTTATCGTTAAATTAATTAAGTTTTATTTCATACATTTTGACAGTAAATATTCACGTTGTCATCTTTTTGGAAAACATATTATGCGGTATTTCAATTCTTGTATATTTAGTGCTGGGCTTCAAAAAAAAAACTCAATCAGGATAAATTTTCCAACTGAAGAGGAAAAACGATATCCTAAAATAAACATTTTTATAAATATAAAAGCAAAAAACAAATTACATAATTTAGGAGTTTGTAATTCTCATTTTAATTTTGATTAAAATTATCTTTATCAACCATATAAAACAACAATGATCTATTGAAAAAAGTTGGATTTATAATCGTCGATATATATTTTGCAATAAATATAAATATTTTTTTAGTCGTAGAAATAATTGTAGTATGTATAGTTAGTCAAGATATTCAAGTACCATGTATTAGGCTTAAAACATATAATATCTTTAAAATGCTGATAATTTTATTAGTAAATCTAATAATGAATATCGATCACATTATGTTTGTTCATAATGTTTTAATTTACAAGGTGAACATTTCTTTGAAAGATAAGGTAGTGAAAAAAAACAGCTTTTTCATACAACAAAATCACTTAAACTTTTTGGACAATGGATTTTAAATGTTGTAACATCAAATGAAAAGATTCAAAAAAGAAGAATTATTAATACAATTAAGTTCAATTTTAAGTATATTTAAGCAATCTGTTGAATTAAAATTACAACAAAACCTTTCAAATTTATTTCTTATAAAAATAATATTACATCTTGGTAAAGTTTATATTATCAAAATATTGAAAAAGTTATAACTTTACAACAGAAATGTTAACAAAAACTGGAGAAGCATTAGGAACTATAATATGGAAATCAAAAAAAAAATGTTCAAGAAAAAAAGCAAGGATTTGAAAATCCTGATTTATTTGAATATTATTGACAAAGTTTTCCAACTATTTTAGTAAAATTTTTTGATGGATTTATTATTAATTTAGAAAAAAAGAAACTTGAAATATTGAATAAAAAAAGAAAGCAAAGAAATCTTAAATTAAACCTTTTGATAAAAAATGAGCATTTCTAATTTTAACAATATTAACAATTGCATTTTCTAGTATTAATATTTGTTTATAAATATTATATTATGAGTTTACTTTATAGAAAACTAAAATTAATTACATTTTTATATGCTATTTTATATATATATTAAATGTAGTATCACATATATTAAATTACATATAGTTCACTATTAAAGTTTATTATTAATGATTAATAATAATAGTTTTATTTTATTTGAAAAATCAGATTTTACAAAAAATTTATTAAAAGATTATGAATAATGTTTAATAAACTTTTATTAACACATTCAAATCATTGGAATATTAATAATTTTTATAATAAAATTGCTGAAAAATAGAATTAAAATATTAAAGAATTCTATCACCAAATATTATAATTCTTGAATTAGAAGAAAATTCAAATATAATATATTATCATCGTCAGAAATCGACCTTATTATGTCAATTATTAATAACCTATAAAATAATAATGTAATAAGTACTGCGTCAAATAATTTATAAAACTTTTGATTTCCTAGATCCTTAGAATTTATCTGATTCACTAGATCCACTTGATAAGCCTTATAAATTAGAAAATTGTTATAATGCTTATTTCCATTATTCTATACAATCTTAGTCACGAATCTAATATCAACTCTGAAAGATTAATTGAAAAGATATTTTATGTTTAATTTGTTATCCCTGTATATACCTGAATCTGATAACTTTGAAGACTTTTATTATTGATATTATATTCAATTTGGATCATATAAATATTCTAAATATACTCTTGATTTATTAAAATATTAAAACAAATAACTAAAGAATTAAGCAAACTACTTGAAGATATCAATCTTATATGAACTATAAGTCTCTGCATTAATTAGAAGTTTTAGATATAAGAAAGTTGCTAGCTTACCTTTGGTTGCTAAATTAATAGTCCTATTAGTAAAACAAATTGTATAGAAAAAGGAAGTATATCTTTTACCAAGTAGTCAAATACAACTATTAAAGTTAATAACTATATATATAATCAAGAATTCAACATGAATCCTTTTGAAGAAAATATCTTGTCTTTCTTAAATCCTATAAAAACTAGAACTCTTCAATTAGAAAGAAATTATAATTAAGACTAATAATACTATTCGAAACCTATTTTAATATGTAGCTTAAAAATTAAGAAACTACTTCGAAATTTTTAAAGCTAACTTCATAATTTATAGACCATTAATAATTTTTCAGTTACATTCAGTCACAATATTTTATAGTAATTTTATTATAAAATATTTTCAGTCACATTTAGTCACAATTTATTAGTAGTTCATGAATTATGAAATTAGCTATAAAATAACTTTTTTTTAAATCTGAACCTTGATGAAACTTAACTGAATTTAGGAAAACCTATTAGAAATTTAAATAAAGATATTTATTATAAATAAATAATTTTATCTCAAATATCTCAAAACTTAAATTTTCTAAAAATAGTTTAGAAAAGCATCTTTAACCAAGAACTTTTCATCTAATATAAAAGAAGTCCCTATAGGTCTGCTACTAAAACTACTATTGCTCATATTCAAGAGATTATCACATCAAGTAGCTTAAGTAAAAATCAACCAATTTAATCAACCTCATCTTTTTCAACTATTCAACCTGATCTAATTACTGTAGAAGTTCATATAACAAAATAACTACTTAAGCCAATTTAGAAACTATTAATAAAACTTCAGAAACTTTTGATTATGACAAAGAAACTGTTACATATACTGAAGCAGATGAAAGATATTCACCAAACATTAAATATAGAAGACAAAATATTGCAGACCTTATCATCTTACAAAAAGAAATTAAATTCTCACCTTTAACTATTATTAATTTCTACTCTGAATCTGAATACTTGCCAACTAATTATTCTCAAGGACCACCTATTTAATCTTCAATTTTAACTTCTGAACAAGCGAAAGAAGTCTTTTGAATAGATTTAGATGCTTAAACTGAAAGATCCCCAAAAAATGACTTCTGTCTGCTTATAACATTTAAGCAATATAAAGAACTGACCATATCATTATTGTTTATATCTAAAAAATAAACATTAAAAATTTAACGAGATCAAATATTTATTATTATAAATAAAATACATGTGATCTAATCTGTTTTGATATAATTTGATTTAAGATTAACATGATTAACATTAATTAGATAAACAATGTAAAATTAAGAAAAATAGGATTTTAATCAGTATTTTTTAATTATAAATAGTAATGATTTCTATTTTTAAAATAATCAATGTAAATTACTTTTTAAAGTAAATTTAATTATGTTAATATACTTATTGTAAATCTATGCATTACATTATCAAAAAATCAAAATTATTTGCAATTTTATTTTTAAAATAATCAAAGCAAATTTCTTTTTAAAGTAAATCTAATTATGTTAAAATACTCATCGTAAATCTATGTATAACCTTATTAATAAATCAAAATTATTTGCAATTTTATTTTTAAAGAAAGCAAT